CCACGGTCCGGGAGGTCCCACGGTCCTGGAGGTCCCACGGTCCGGGAGGTCCCACGGTCGGGGAGGTCCCACGGTCCTGGAGGTCCCACGGTCCAGGAGGTCCCACGGCCGGGGAGGTGCCACGGTCTGGGAGGTTCCACGGTCCAGGAGGTCCCATGGTCCAGGAAGCTCCACAGTCGGGGAGCTCCCACGGTCTGGGAGGTTCCACGGTTGGGGAGGTCCCACGGTTGGGGAGGTCCCACCGTTTGGGAGGTTCCATGGTTGGGGAGGTCCCAGATGGTCTGGGAGGTTCAGCGGTTGGGGTGGTTCCACAGTTGGTGAGGCCCCATGGTCTGGGAAGCCCCACAGTCTGGGGTCCCACAGTCGGGGTGGTGCCATGGTCTGGGGGGGAAATCCCACGGTCGGGGTGGTGCCACGGTCTGAGGCGATCCCACGGTCAGGCTGTTGCCACGGTCTCGTGTCCCACGGTCTGGGGTCCCACGGTTGGGGTGGTGCCACGGTCTGGGGGGATCCCATGGTCAGGGTGGTGCCACCGTCTGGCGTCCCACAGTCTGGTGGCCCTCTGCCCGCAGGTCATCTGTTACATCTACTTCACACGCATCATCGCCATCCTGCTGCAGGTGGCCGTGCCCTTCCAGTGGCAGTGGCTGTACCAGGTGATCAGGGAGCCCCAGGGAAGGGTTAGGGGGCGGGTACGGGTGTGTGTGTACCTGACACCCCGCCCTGCCCCCTGGTCCCCAGCTGCTTGTGGAGGGCTCCACGCTGACCTTCTTCGTCCTCACGGGCTACAAGTTCCAGCCGGCAGGGGACAACCCGTACCTGCAGCTGCCCCAGGAGGACGAGGAGGATGTGCAGATGGATCAAGTGTGAGTGGGAGGCCCTGAAAGCGGGTGGGGGAACCGCTTGAGGCGGCTCTGAGGGAGGTGGGCGGGGCTGGGGGTTGGGGGGGTGCGGGTGGAGCCAAGGCGGCTCTGGGGTCAGGTGGGAGGTGCTGGGGCAGCTTTGGGGGTGGGGTCGGGACGGCTCTAGGGGCGAGTAGATAGGTCAGGGCAACTCTGGGGGTGGGGTAGGCGGGGTTGGTGCAGCTCTGGGGCGGGTAGGTAGGGCGGAGCTTCTCTGTGGGCGGGTGGGGTTTGTGGGTGCTGGTGCCGCTCTGGAGGGAGGGGGGGTGGGGTGGGGTGGGCCTTCCACCCTCTCAGCTCCCGAACTGCCCCCTCGCTGTCTGTTCCCAGAATGACGGACTCCGGGTTCCGGGAAGGCCTGTCCAAAGTCAACAAAGCCGGCGGGCGGGAGCTGTTGTGACGCCTCCGAATGGACGGGCCCCCCCTCGCCTCCCTCTCATTCCTCCTGCTGGCTCCCGAGAGAGCGGGGGAGGAGGGGCCTGTGCGAACCCGGAGCTGCTCCCCGACCGGCGCAGAGCTCACTCCGATGCCGATGCCGACGGAAGCCCTTATCTCCCTCCCAAGGATCGGGCCCCCTGCCCTCACCTGGGACCACCGCGACTTCTAACTTCTAGCTGTGGAATAATGACCAGTCTGTTTTGCTACCCGTTTCTTGCCTTTGTGCGGGTCTGGGTCAAAGGCGCTGAGGTCACGTGGACAATTTAGAACCCTGTGTTCACCGGCGGGGAGCCCTGGTGGCGCTAACCTTCGGTTAGCTAAGGCTGCTAACCAAAAGGTCGGCAGTCAGACACCCTATGGGACAGTTCTCCTCTGTCTTAGAGGGTCGCTGTGAGTCGGAATTGACTCGACGGCAACAGGGTTTTTTTTTTAATTCACTGGGGGTGGGGGTCAGTGCCCACGGCTTTACACATTCAATAAATGTTAGTTGAGCAAGGCTATATGGGTCCCAGGCCATACGCTAGGTGCTGGGGACACAGCTGTGACCACGACCAGCCGGGTCGCAGCTCTCAAGGGGTTCACCGTCCCGGGGCGGGGGCGGAGAGAGGAACAGGTCCTCGGGGTATTCCATCACGGCACCATTGGAGCCACCATGGGGGCTTCAAGGGGCCCTGACCCCACAGGGGAGGTCAGGGAAGACCACAAAGGCCAGAGGTGAGGAAGAAATAGTGATCTCAAGTCTCGCAAGTGACCCAGGCTAGAGTAAAAAATAAGAAAAAAAAAGTCAGTGAAGTGGATCCCACGTCCTAGCGACCCCATGTGTGCAAGAGTAGAACTGTGCTCCATATGGTTTTCAGTGGCTGATTTTTTTGCAAGTAGATCGCCAGGCCTTTTTTCCCAGGCACCTCTCAGTGGTTTCAAACCAACCTTTTGGTTAGCAGCCAAGTGCTTAACTGTTTGTACCATCCAGGGACGCCCTGGTGAAGCAATGGTTAAGCACTCGGCTGCTAACTAAAACATTGGCTGTTTGAACCACCACAGCGCCGCAGGAGAAAAGACCTGGCGATCCGCTCCTGTAAAGATTACAGCCTAGGAGCTCCTGTGGGGCAGCTCTACTCTCACATGGGGTTGCTATGAGTCAGAATCGACTCCGTGGCACCCCACAACAGTAACACCAGAGTGGTTCCTATGTGCCACATCCTATTCTAAGGTCTCTCTAGGCTTTAACCCAAAAAGCCTGTGAGGCACAGAGAGGCCAAGTAACTTGCTCAAGGTCACACAGCTCACAAGTTAGTGGGAGACTCTGGGCTCCAACGCGGGCAGGCTGGTTCCAGAGTTGCCCTTAACCACTGCCTGCACTGCCCCTCTGTGGCTGGACTCCCTGGGGCAAAACCTCAACCTTGCTTCCATCTGCTGCGTGTCCCTGGCCAAGTGGCTTGGCATCTCTGTTTCCTTGTGTGTAAATGGAGTCTCAGGAGTGTGGCGTATCACATGCTCGGCCCAGTGCCCAGCATCACAGCCTGAGCTCTCAGGGACCTGCCCTGAACCGCAGCTCAAACACACCTGAACGCACACCTGTGGGCAGGCTCCCAAGACTCCTCCCCCGCCCTCCTGGAACCCCTTTGGGAGCTCAAAGAAACATTCCTGGGGCCCCTTGGGCCCTGCCCGGCAGGGGCCCCAGGCATGGGATGGGTAGCGGGCCAGGCTTGGGTAAGACTTCCTGCAGGCGGAAGCAAGTGTGGCGGGGCCCAGGGGAATAAATAGCCCAGCCAGACAGAGACGGAAGTGGGGCAGCGTTGCAGGCCTCCACGGAAGTTGTGTGACAAGACGGGGACGCCTGGAATAGCCTGGCACTGCAGGGCTGGCTGGGGACGGTGGGGGCTAAAGTAGCTGGCAGAGCCTGAAGACGGGAGATGTACTAGGATTTCATGACAGGGCCCACGGCAGCCAAGGGAGAGTTTAAACGAGGGAGGGACTTGGTCATCTGGGAGCTGATGCTTCACTCCACGTGTGAGTCTCCTGGAGTCCCTGGGTGGTGGAAACATGCTCAGCTGCTAACCAAAAGGTTGGAGGTTCGAGTCCACCCAAGGGTGCCTTGGAGGAAAGGCCTGGTGATTTACTTCCAAAAAAACCAGCCTCTGGAGCACAGTTCTGCTCTGACACACGGGGTGGGGGGCGGAGGGGTCACCAGGGGTCAGAATCCAACTTGATAGCAACTGGTAACTGGTATTTGTATAGGGCTGCTGTAACAGAGTGTCACAGCTGGGTACTTCAAACAACAGAAATGTATTGTCTCACAGTTCTGGAGGCTAGGAGTCCAAATTCAGGATGTCTGCAGGACCATGCTGTCTGAAGCCTCCAGAGGAAACTCCTTCCTTGTCTCTACCAGCTTCTGTGGCCCCAGGCATTCTGTGGCTTGTGGCTGCAACCCTCCAATCTCTGCCTCCTCGGTCACATGGCCGTCTTCCTTGTGCGTCTGTTTTTGGGTCTCTTCTCCTTTTATAGGTGTAAAAATGGCTTGGGTGCAGTGTCTGACCTCCTCCAACTTCACGAGGGGGAAGGAGAATCAAGATCAACAGCCCAAGGTTGATTCCTATGAGGCAGGGGTCAGACATGCCTCCTCTCTCCGCCATCTGACACCAACCGTCCTTCCCATGGCACTCTTTATTTCTCTGCTGGCTTCGGTAATTCATTGCAATGGCCACACAGAACTCACAGACAATATTCACAATTATGGGGTTTATTAGGGAAGTAGCAGTTATAATTCAGGCTCAGGAACACTCAGGATACAGTTCTTCCATCAGGACAGCCTCTTCCCAGCCATGCTCGCAGGCACGCCTCTCCCTGGCCCTCAGTCTCTGCCCAAAGGCACTCAGTTTTCTCTCTCCGTGGGCCAGGAAGCCCACCGCGCTGTCTCTTGCTGCCAAGTCTCTGCTGATGAGTCTCTCCTGCTGGTCTCTCCTTCCTTGGTGGTGGTGGGCTCTTTCTCTCTGCTCTGGAATGGGCTCTCTTTTAAGGCAAAACTGATCAATCCCCTTGGATTACCTATCACATAGTCCCACCCAAACACCTGGGTGGGAGTTACAAGACCATAGGTAGAAAGGCCACATAGAAGTAATCAATCAGTAATCAATCGCATTGCGATAGGACATCACTCAGACAGGCTTAGAACCCACCCTCCTCCAGTACGACCTCATGTTAACCTCGCTCATACCGTCTTCAAAGACCCTATTTCCAAACAATGACACATTCACAGATACCAGGGATTAGAACTTCAGCATATCTTTTGGGGGGATATAACTCAATCTGTAACATTTCAGATGCCTGCTGTGGTCAGTTGAAAAATGTCCCCTCCTCAAAGATGGCCACATCCTAATCGCCAGGACCTGTGAATATGGTACCTGAGTCCTCAGGTGGCGTGAACATTTAAGCTTCAGAAGATTGGTGGTTCGAACCCACCCAGAGGTGCCTTGGAAGAAAGGGTCGTTGATCTGCCTCTGAAAGGTCAAGCTTTGAATACTCTTTGGAGCACAGTTCTACTCGGAAGCGCATGATAACCACTGGATTGGTTTACGTACGTAGCAAAAGGGATTTTGCAGATGAGATAAAGTTAAGAATTGTGAGATGGAGGATTATTCTGGATTATTTGGGTGGACCCAATGTAATCATCCTCACTGTTGTTGTTATGCTTGAGCCCATTGTTGCAGCTACTGTGTCAATCCATCTCGTGGAGGGTCTTCCTCTTTTTCTCTGACCCTCTACCAAGCATGATGTCCTTCTCCAGGGACTGGTCCCTCCTGATAACGTGTCCAAAGTATGTGAGACGTAGTCTTGCCATATTTGCTTCTAAGGAGCATGCTGGTTGTACTTCTTCCAAGACAGATTTGTTTGTCCTTTTGGCTGTCCATGGTACATTCAATATTCTTCGCCAACACCGTAATTCAAAGGCATCAATTCTTTGGTCTTCCTTATTCTTTGTCCAGATTTCACATGCATATGAGGCGATTGAAAATACCACAGCCTGGGTCATGCGCACCTTAGTCCTCAAAATGACATCTTTGCTTTTTAACACTAAAAAGGTCTTCCAGTGGTCTCTAGAGGCTGGAAAAGACAAGGAAATGGATCCTTCCCTGAAGCCTCCGGAAGGAACCAGGCCTGCTAACACTTTGGTTTTAGATTTCTAACTTCCAGAGCTGTAAGGTAATAAATCTGTGTCGTTTGAAGCTACTAAGTTTGTCGGACAATGAATGTGTTAAGCTACTAAGTTTGGTGGACAATGAACAAGGAAGACCAAAGAAGAATTGACTCATTAGAATTGTGGTGCTGGGAAAGAATACTGATATACCATGGACTACTAAAAGAACCAACAAATCTGTCTTGGAAAAAGTACAACCAGAATGCTCCTTAGAAGCAAGGATGGCGAGACTATGTCTCACGTACTTTGGACATGTTATCAGGAGGGATCAGTCCTTGGAGAAGGACATCATGCTTGGTAGAGCAGCAGAGAAAAAGAGGAAGACTCTCAACGAGACGGATTGACACAGTAGCTGCAACAATGGGCTCAAGCATAACAACAACGGTGAGGATGGCGCAGGACTGGGCAGTGTTTCGTTCTGTTGTACATAGGGTCGCTATGAGTCGGAACCAACTCGACAGCACCTAACAACAACAACAAGTTTGTTGTCTACCACCTGTCTGTCAAGGAGCCCTAGTGGAGCATCGGTTACGCACTCAGTTGCTAACCAAAAGATTGGCAGTTCAAATCCGCCAAGCAACTCCGTAGGAAAATTCCTGGCAACCTGCTTCCTTAAAGATTACAGACAAGAAAACCCTATGGGGCAGTTGTACCCTGTCACATGGGGTCTCGATGAGTTGGGACTGACTGGATGGCACCCAACAACAACCCGTCTGTCAGTCTATCATACTGTGGTGGATTGCTTGTTGCTATGATGCTGGAAGCTATGCTACCAGTATTTCAGATACTAGCAGGGTCACCCATAGTGGACAGGTTTCAGCGGAGCTTCCAGACTAAGACAAGACTAGGATGAAAGGCCTGGCAATCTAGTTCTGATCATGAGCCAATGAAAATCTTATGGATTGCAGCAGAACATTGTCCAACTTGCTTTCTGCTTCTAAAACAAACATGTCATCAGGAGAGATCAATTACTAGAGAAGAACATCGTGTTTGGTAAAGTAGAGGGCCAGCGAGGGCAAGGGAGACCCTCAGTGAGATGGTTTGGCACAATAGCCTCAAAGATGGATGAAGGATCGGTCAACGTTCCGTTCTGTTGTCCATAAGGTCGCCATGAATGAGAGCCGACTCGCTGCCAGCAGCTACAACAAACAAGTTTCCAGTAATTTTTTTACAGCAGCCAGACAACTCCTAC